TTTTGTGTGCGATTCTGCAGCGCCTGGCCAGGTAAGCGGCGGAGGCAGATGGGCTGGACTCTCAAGGCCTCCAGCAGCCCCTCTGAAAGGTCTTTCGTCTTCCTCCCAGCTGATCCAGGTCATCCGGACTCTAGACAGAGACGAAGCTGGCAACAGTAGCCAGGTCTCCCTTCAAGGTCCTGTGGGCCCCGACGCTAACTTTACAGTCCGGGACAACCGAGGTGGGTGGCTTTCTGCAACCACGCCCATGCCTGTCCTGTCTTCTCCCTCTCCCTCCCCCACCCCTGCCCCTCCTGTGGAACCATCTGCCCCGCAGAAGGCAGGTGTGCATTTACACTTGTTTGCTCTTATATAAACCTTGCCTGGGGAGCGGGCTCCATGGCCTGGACCAACCCTAAGGAACGTACCCCAACGGCCTTCCTTTTTCCACAGATGGCTCTGCCAGCCTCCTGCTGCCTTCCCGCCCTGCTCCACCCCGCCAGGCTCCCTACTTGGTTCCTATAGAACTTTGGGACTGGGGACAGCCAGCTCTGAGCAGCACTGCCACGGTGACTGTCAGTGTTTGTCGCTGCCGGCCCGATGGCTCCATGGCATCCTGCTGGCCTGAGGCTCAACTCTCCCCCACCGGCCTGAGCACCGGTGCCCTGCTTGCCATTGTCACCTGTATGGGCACCCTACTTGGTGAGTCAGGCCACAGTGGGGTAAGATGTGCTGGGCCTGTTCCGTGTGGGGGGGAGAAAGCCCGTCTAGACATAGGGCGCGAATGACCCCTCAGGCCTGGATTTCCTACTACCTGATAGGTCCAAGAGAAAACATTTGGTCTCATCTAGTGGACCTGCCATTCTGTGGTAGTAACTAGCCTCCTATAGGCAAAGAGCTCTGATTCCGTGTCGGCTTCCGTCTGGCCCCTCATGGGAACCAGCTGGCTCCGCGGCCTGTGTGCTCTTGTGCAGCCCTGGTGGTGCTCTTCGTGGCCCTGAGGCGGCAGAAGCAGGAGGCGCTGATGGTCCTGGAGGAGGAGGACGTTCGCGAGAACATCATCACCTATGATGACGAGGGCGGTGGAGAGGAGGACACCGAGGCCTTCGACATCACCGCCTTGCAGAACCCCGACGGAGCTGCTCCTGCAGGGGCAGGCCCGCCGGCGCGCCGCGATGTGCTGCCGCGGACCCGAGCGCCACGCCAGCCCAGGCCACCGGGCGCCGCCGATGTGGTGCAGCTGCTGGCGCTGCGGCTGCGCGAGGCGGACGAGGACCCCAGTGTGCCCCCGTACGACTCGGTGCAGGTGTATGGCTACGAGGGCCGGGGCTCCTCCTGCGGCTCGCTCAGCTCCCTGGGCTCGGGCAGCGAGGCTGGCGGCGTCCCCGGCCCCGCCGAGCCACTGGACGACTGGGGCCCACTCTTCCGCACTCTGGCTGAGCTGTACGGGGCCAAGGAGCCCCCGGCCCCCTGAGGCGGGCCCAGGCCCTGCCCGCTGCGGGGGTCAGCGTGCTCAGGCCCTCTGAGTGAGCCCCACGGGGTCCAGGCAGGTGGGGGCAGCCCAGGGGCCCGACGCGTCTGTCCCTCCTTCCTACCGCCCCCGTTACCTCCCACTCCTCAATCGGTCTGTGTGTGTCTCCAGAGATCCCTGTCTGAGATTCTCCGCTGTCGGGGGTTGGGTTTTGTAACTGACCCAGCTTCTGTTCTCACTGTGACTCTGTGGCCGTTCCTGTCTAGTAACTCCAATTGCTCTGACCCTGTCTCCCACACACGCTCTCTGTCTTGTGTCCTGCCCACATGCTCCTCCCCTCTCCTTCAGTCCCTGGCTTTGGGTTTGTTTGTTGTTGGTTTTTGTTGTTGTTGTTTGTCTCCTGTTATCCATCCCCAAGCAAGAGACTCTTCCAGCCACTGCTGCCCCACCCTACTGCAGGAGATGCTCTGTTCCAGGTCAGGGTCCTTGGATACAGCGGAGGGCGTGGACCAAAGCTGCCCCCAATCCTGCTTCTGAACCAACTCTCCATTCCTTGTAGACCTGCCCGCATGGTTCCACCCATCACTCATGGCCTCATCCTGGCTCCACTGGCTTCTCGCAGAGGAAGAGGGGGCCAGCTCACCTCCCAGGGAAGCGCTTCAGCCCCACGCAGCACCGCCCTGGAGCTCTGCCCGGCTGTCGGCCTGCCCTGGGCGCCCAGCTCTGGGCACTGTCGTGTGTGCTTCTCAGGCCCCAGAAGGGAAAGGAGTGGGGAGAGCGGGGGGAGGCGGCTGGGGAAGGGGAAAGGGAGGAAGGGGAGGGGCCTCCATCTCTAATTTCATAATAAACACTTTATTTTGTAAAGTAGGGGTCTGCTTCTGCTTGTGCACCAGCCTTTGGGACAGAGCGTCCTCTGTGGTGCGGGTGGAATCGGCCTAAGCTCCCCCTAGTCCTAGCTCAGTCCTTCTCCTGGGAGGCACCGGCTTCACCCTCTCCATAGAGCGTCTGGGCTGTTCCGTTTGAGGAGCAGAAGTATAACGACTGTCCCCATGTCACCTCCAACTCCAGCTCCACTTCCGTTCGTCTCAAACTGCCCCAAGGAATGAACGTGCGGGACTGGCAAGCAGAGCGTGAACAAGGGGAATACGGGGTCAAAGCGGAGACTCAGGACCAAGAAGAGGGAAAGAGGACGTTCCACACGGGCAACTAAACAGAATGTGGGGGAGGCGGCTGATGCAGCAAGTCAGCCCTGGGCCTCCAGTACTAGCCACGAAGGGGCGTGCTAGCACAGTCAGACTGACGGGGCCTCCCACTTCCACGGGCCGGGTGACTGACGGGGCCTCCCACTTCCACGGGGCCTCCCACTTCCACGGGCCGTGCTAGCACAGTCACACCTCCACTTTTACACAGCATCTCCCCGGGCCGCAGGAGGTCTTGGTGGAGCAGCACAAGAGTCAGAAGGGGGATGCGAGTGCTGAGGGGTGCGTCGGGTGGGGCGGCAGCAGTTGGGACTGCCGACATCCTCAGTGCTCAGCACAAGTCTCAGGCCTTTTCTCCAGGTAGGACTCGGCTACCCAAGAGTAAGTGGGCCCCGGCAGAGCTGTTACCCTCCCGATTTAAGAGTGGGACGCTGGCAATGAGAAAGCTGTGTTCATGAGAGAGGGAGAATGGGTATCACCATGGAGCTCAGGCTGAGCTTGACCTCACTGTATAGCCCTGGCTAGCCCTGAACTCAGAGCAAGTCTCCTGCCTCCATCTCTGAAGGCTGAGATTAAGGTCACACAGCTGGGAGCAAACCTCACGCCTTCCATAGTTGCTGACTTAGAGCTAACAGGCGGTGGGACACCAAGGGCTCCCTCCATGGCTGGTTATTTACTCCGGGAAGCTACATTACAAGGCCTGCAGGAGAGCAGGTGTCTGTCTGTCAAGACACTAAAGACAGCCACAGCAGGACACATCAGAGAGGACAGGGTCTGCAGTCACGGCAGGCTCGCTGGCCCTTTGGTCTCACCCTGAGGGCTGCTTCAACCTTTAAAAATTATTGAACAATGAGGGAAACGAATCGTGGACCAGTCTCAGGTAGAGAAGGGTATGTTCAAAAGGGGCATTAGCGCTGCCTGCCCAGTCTCAGCAATCCTGCTGAGACACTCCAACAATGCACTAAAAGAGTAAAGGAACCTGGGGGTAACTCAGATGAAGAGCACTGACTGCTCTTCCAGAGCCTTGGGCTCAGCACTCAGCAGCCACATGGCAGTGCACAAGCATCTCAAGTGTCTGGGGGAGTTGATGTTTTCTCTAACCTGCAGGCACCAGGCAAGTGTGTGGTACAGTACATGACATGGAGGCAAAACACTCATATATAAATGTAAAAAACTTTAAAAACAAGAGAGGCGCACGCCTTTAATCCCAGCACTCAGGAGGCAGAGGCAGGAGGATCTCAGTGAATTCAAGTCCAGTCTAGCCTACAGAGCAAGTTCCAGGACAGCCTGACCCCCAACCCTCCCCCCCCAAAAAAAGGAAATAGAAGTTGCAAGTTTTGTTCTTTCAGGGTTCTAGTCTCCTTGTCTAGTCTGGGAAGAGAGGTGCAGAGCATCTCAGGAGATTGGGTTGCACATGTACGCTCTCTACTGTGCAAGATGTAGGGTGGGGGCAGAGGCTGACACTGGACCCCATAGGCTGCAGTGACTGCTCTTATTCAAATGGTGCTCCTTTCTCTTCCACAGAGTTAGCACACATGCAGCCACCTGTCCTGAATCACTCACCTATAGTTGAATGTTAAGACCTACTCATGCCTGTGCAAAAGTTGCCCCTCCTCCTGTGCTCCTCCAGGACTAGGCGGTCCCAAGCGTCCCTGACCTTCAGTTATCACCCCTGGAGACCCACACCTCCTCCCCAAGGCTGGGCAGTTTGCAAGGGATGAAGGCCAATACCAGATTTCCACCCCAGCTTGCAAGCTAGTCCCCATGTACTGGGGACTTTCAGTAGTCATCTGTTCTGAGGATCCCGACTTTCCTTCTAGCCCTCCAGAGTTTGGAGAATCCAGTTCAGAGTCTGTAAGTCTAATGTCAATGAACTCTTAATCTGACAGTCAAGGGAGGGGGGAAGCAGCTGTCAGTCTTAGGAGTGGAGGCTTCAGACCCCACCTCCTGACCAGCGGGAACAGAGGGCGGTGGCTCTCCTGAAGCTGAAAGCCTGCATCTCCAAGTCCGGGCTCCCTGGAAAGCCAGAAGCTGTTCAGGAGGGTCAGAAAATGTGCTGGCTGGCTCCACTAGCTTAGTACCCACTCTAGTCTTAAGCCTCTGGAGGGAACAAGCAGGAGAAGTTGGAGTAGAGAAACAGGGGAGAAGTCTGTGGGGTAGAGAGCAGGGCAGGGCTACAGGGCAGGGCTCAGGCCCTGGCCAGCACAGCAAGAAAAGCCTGGGAACGGGCAGTTTCTCTGAGCTCACCCATCCAAGCCCTTGGGTTCCTTGATGTTCATTCAAGCTCAGCCAATAGGCAGGGGCTCGGCCTATTCCCCAGAAGCTTGCAAGGAAGGCAGAGAAGGCAGAACAATTGGCCACACCTTTAATGCCAGCACTCAGGAGGCAGAGGCAGGTGGATCTCATCAGTTCAAGGCCAGCCTGGTCTACAGAGTGAGTTCCAGGATAACCAAGGGTACACAGAGAAACCTTGTCCCAAAAAGGGGGGCAGGGCGTTGGGGGCTAGGAGGAAAATATTCACAGAGAACCCAGGCATGGGCTGTCTACGTCCTACAACAGTGCTGTGTCTGCTATAACCAGTGAGTCCCATAACTCTAAACCTGATCCAGCTTCAATAAAGAGCTATGCTTCCAAAGGTTGTCATGAGAACTGCACTCAGTAAAGGAGGAATCATTACAGTCATTATAGTCACGACAGGGGGGCAGCAGAGACAGGGCCATCACCACTATAACCCAACTAGGCCCTGCAGCCTTCAGGGCCTCTAAGAGTTTCTGACAGGCTTCTCTCTCTCCTCCGTGCCCTGCCTGACCAAACTGAGAAGTGACCAGGAGAGAGAGATAAAGTCTCAGACAGATAAGGACCAAATGAGCATAGAGACTGGGATGGGTGACAAAAAAGGGCCTAGCGCATAGCAGGGCAGTTGGCACGCAGTAGGAGTGCAACAAGTGTTGGCTGCGTCAATCTAGAGGCCATGCCATCCATTGGGCATCAGAACATGTTGGTCAGAGACATCAATAGCTCTGGGAGGCAAAAGATAGGGACTTGAACAATAAAGGCTGCAACCGCGAGGGCCAGGCCAGAGGCCATGAGGATGCTCCAGGACTAGCCGGCCACACAGCCTCATTCCCGGGCTACCGCCTCGTCTGGGTCCCCCGAGTGCTGTCATTTCTCCCATCCCTTCGGTCTTCGCCATTTCTATCCTGGAGTCTTCTGGTGTCACCTCCTCTCACTCCACGAAGACTTCTCCACCTTCTTCGGCGTCTTGTGGAGTGGCGGGCTCAGGGTGGGCTTGACTGGCTTCTGCCTCCAGCTCCCGTTCCTGCTCCAAACCCGGGGCTTTCTGCAGCTCCATGTACAGCACAAAGGCATCACTGCGGGACACATACTCCCAGCCAGTCTCTCGGACGTGGAAAAGGTCCACTGAGCCCCCTGAATAAGCATCACGGTGGGTGGCATGGGTCACCGCACAGCGGGCCAGGGCGTAGGCTTCCGGAATGGTCATGTCGTAGCGGTAGCCACGGTCGAGCACACCATAGGCGTACGGAGATCCGGAGCCCACAGAGAAGATATCCCCCTGCAGACAAGTGCCATCACTGTACACATAGAAGAGGGCCGGGCCGGCGTGGTCCCAGCCGCACAGGGCAGTGGCCACACACAGATCCAGACCCCGGTAGCGGGACATCATAGCCGACAAGAGTTTGGCTGCGCCTGCCACACTGGGCAGCCGACCTTCCCTCAGCTCCCGAAGCCGCAGCTCCCGCCGGAGCACCCGATACCACGTGACACAGTCAGCCGAGGTCCCAGAGGTGGTACCCAGGAGGTGCGGGTGCACAGGGATGACCTTCCGTGAGGCTGGGCACGCCACATAGCCGCCACAGGAGGAGCGGGTGTCGGCTGCAGCGATGACACCGTGGCGGAAGCGAAAAGCCAGGGTGGTGGTGCCATGAGCCAGCCTGGGGCCGTGGATCTGCAGGAAGGTTCGAGGGTCGCAGCCCCGAGGCACAGCCCAGCCACCAGCCTCGGGCAAGTGAGGGGATGGCCCCTGGGTGTCGAGGGTCTGCCACTGGCACACATCCTGAAGAGCCATCCCTGAGGCCGCGTGAAAGCGGGAAGGAGCGGCCAGCGTTTGAGGCCTGGCTCAGTACGGGAGGAAGGACGCTGTGGAGAAGCCGGCCTGCAGCCAGAGCCAGTAAGTGAGACCTGTGAGCTGACGCTTCATTTCCCCCAACCTCAAACGAGGCTTCGGAATTGGTCGGTAAAGCATCTCCACCCACATCAGAGAACTGCCAAGGGGGCCTGCGGAGGCTCCTGAGCTGGGGGACGCCACCTATCATGCCATGTAAGGGTCACCAGGTCACCAGAAGAGTCTCCTGTCTGTCATCCTCTGTCTACCCAACAGGGGGTGGAGGTGGGAATTAGCATAACTGAAGAGAAGGGTAGATGCCACGGGAAGGAGCTGGGCGCCCACCTCCTGGCTTTGCTCTGTGGGACATTAGGCCTGCAGAGACCTCCAACTCATGGACTGTGCTGAACACGGAAAAGATGAGAGTTTCTGTAAGAGGGGAAAGGAGACAGACTCAAATACCTCCCAGAAAAGCAGGCTACTGAGGGGGAAGAGTGACAGAACTTGAAAGTTTCCCTTCTGCTTTGGTGACAAAGGGGCCCTCCTATCTGCATACAGAGATGGCGATCCTAGGCTGGGAAGGTAAAAGCACTTGCTTAGCAAGCCTGACAACTAGTTTGATCCTCAGAACCCACATTAAAAACCCCGAGGCAGGCGGATCTCTGAGTTCAAGACCAACCTGGTCTACAGAGTGAGTTCCAGAACAGCCAGGGCTACACAGAGAAACCCTGTCTTGGAGGGGAGGCAGATGCAGTGACACATCTGTAATCAGCGTTCCTATGACAAGATGGGGAGCAGGAGCAGGAAGACCAGCTAGCCCCGAGTCCGAGAACTGGCCCTTGAGAGTTGCCCTCTGACCTCAAACTCACACACACACACACACACACACACACACACACACACACACGGGGGGGGGGGGAGAAATAAATAAAATAAAACGTAATTGACATTTTTTATTTGTTTTGTTTGTTCTTGAGTCTGGGTCTCACTATGCATGTAGCCATGGCTGAACTCAATTTTTCTAACTAGACCAGGCCGGCCTTGAATTCACAGAGCCCCGCCTGTGGGATTTAAGATTTACACCATTATACCCAGTTTAAACTTTAAAAAGAAAAAGAAACCAAATGCGATATCCGCTGTAATGAAAAAGGATATAAGAAGCAAGAGAACCCGGCAGTCACTGAGTGTGGAGGACGTCAAGGGACAAAGACGAGCCAGGCTTCAGCCTCTGTGACCGGGAGAACATCACTGTCATACACACACATGTGCTAAGTATGAAGGAGGCAAAGAGATGCACAGCAGAGAAACAGCTCTCGTTGAAGGTCACAGCGGGGGCTGGCCACATGGCTCAGACAGCCCTTTTGCCACCAAGCCTGATGGCCTGAGTTCAGTTCCCGGAACCCACGTGTTAACAGGAGGGTACTGGGGGCTGGAGAGATTGGTTAAGTGGTTAAGGGCACTGACTGCTCTTCCAAAGGACCCAGGTTCAATTCCCAGTACCCACATGGCAGCTCACAACTGTTTGTAATTCCAACATCTGACACCCACACACAGACATACATGCAGGCAAAACACCAATGCACATTGAATAAAAATAGATTAAAAAAAAAAAAAGGAGGGAGCGCCAGGCGGTGGTGGCCTTTAATCCCAACACTTGGAAGGCAGAGACAGGTGGATCTCTGTGAGTTTGAGGCCAGCCTGGTCTACAGAGTGAGTTACAGGACAGCCTCCAAAACAATACAGAGAAACCCTGTCTCAAAAATAAATAAATAAATAAAAAGAGGGGGCTCTCACGCTCTTACTCTTCTTTCTGCTTTCTCTGCTCTTTCCCTCTCTGCTCTCCTCTCTTTCTGCTCCTCCTGACTCTCTCTTCTCTTCTGTCCTCCCTCTGTCTCTGTGTCTCTTTCCTTTCCCCTCCCTCCCCTTTCTAATAAAACATCCCATTCAAAAAAAAAAAAAAAAAAGGAGGAGACTGTTTCCAGCAGGCTGTTCTCTGACACCATACATGTGACGTAACACACATACCAAAACATAAACTCATTCTCTCATGTGCACACATATAAGTAAGTGTGAGCTCACATTTGCCAAGCCCAGCAGCACACACCTACAATCCCTCTCTGGGAAAGCTGAGAACAGAGGCTCACTACACTATGTAGTTAGACCTGGACACAGAAAAGTGAAAAACGCACCTTAACAGACGTACAGGTGCCATTAGTCAAGAATGAAAGAACCGTTCAAAGGAGTCAAAGGAGTGGACATGTTACAGGAGTGATTGCAAAGAATTCATGCTGGATAAACAGCAAGTTTCTCTTGTTTTTTTTTTTTTGTTTTTTTTTTTTGTTTTTGTTTTTTTTTTCGAGACAGGGTTTCTCTGTATTGTTTTGGAGCCTGTCCTGGAACTTGCTCTGTAGACCAGGCTGGCCTCGAACTCACAGAGATCCGCCTGCCTCTGCCTCCCGAGTGCTGGGATTAAAGGCGTGCGCCACCAGCGCCCGGCTCTTGTTCTTTTTGTGTGTGGCAGGAATGTGGGGGGATATGCATGTGTTGTGAGATATTCGACCACACTGTGAACCCCGAGTTTGAGTTTGTGTTTGTCGTTAATTAAATAAAATCAACCTTGGATCAGGAGGCAGAGCAAGCAACCAGTTGATAGGAAGTAATCACAGAGAGTCAGAAGGAGCCTGGAAGACGGGTGGAGATACTCTCAGGAAGTAGTGGGGAGGGACTTTGAGTGGAGCGGCCTCTTTTGGTTTGGCTGAATGGAAAGACTCTCTCTGAGATGCCAGCTAAGAGGGAAGGAAGGTCAGCTAGTTGTTCCTCAACCTCTCTGACCTCACAGGTTTTCATCCCAGCCTCTGACTCCCAAGTCTTATTGATAAATTGACTGATGGAGATTTAGTTAAAAACTACATTTGGTGGCAGCAGCAGGAGGAGGACCCGGTGAGATGTAAAAGTCCCACGAGGCCTCTGCCTGAGAAGCTGGTCAGTTACTGCAGATCTGCAATTACTGGATGAGACGGCAGTAGATTCAGGTGCAGCCGCTGTGCCGGAAGAAAAACATCATGCATGTGTGTGCATGGGGGCTGGGGGCACAGACTCACGTGTGGCAGCTAGCTGGAGATAGCAGCTGTCCTGTCTATCACTCTACTGCATTCTTTTGAGACAGGATCTCTCAGGCAACCTAAAATTCTGGTTTTCCCCTTGTCCAGCTGGCCAGCAAGCCTCTGGGATCTGCTGTCTCCATTGCCCAACACTGGGGCTGCAGGCACTCATGCCTACACCCAGCTTTTTAACTAGGTGCTGGGGATCCAAACTGAAGTCAGCTCAAGCCCTGCCTTGCATTTCCTACACTGTAAGTGTGAGACAGATAAAAATGTTTTGCCTCTAGTTGTAGGACTTGGACATACTGCCAGATTTCAGCATGAAAAATACTGAGCATGCAAAGCCTGCTATAGGAGAGGAAGGCCTGAGTGGGGCATCAAAAGAACACTGGATTTAGATACTGATAGGTGAATCCAACAAGCAAGGCTGGAAGGAAGCAACAATTCGTAATATGCCTACTTCCCGACTTGCTATCATTCTCAAGAGTGTTGGCAGGTAAAGGTGGGTAGAGGAAGTAGCAGGCCATGAAATATGGCCTCTTACCAATGAAGCACCTCATTTTGGCAGGCTGCAGTTGAACCTCTTGTTACGTTTTGTGGACCCTCAACTCTCCTTCAGGTTCTCAGATGTCAATTGCTTCTGGGTTAAATGTCCTGGCTAAGGCACGCACCCTGCCATGCGCCTTTAATCCCAGCACTTGGGAGTCAGAAGCAGGTGAATCTCCGAGTTCAAGGCCAGCCTGGTCTAGAGAGAGAGTTCCAGGACAGTGAGGGCTCCACAGAGAAACCTTGTCTTGAAAAAACAAAAACAAACAAACAACAAAAGCAGGCACTAAGCTGAGAATAGACTTTTTAGTTAACCAAAACTTTTGTTTTTCATTTTTTTAATTTTTTTTTTGGATTGAAATACACTTTAATGAGTTCCTCAGTAACTGCAATTTGTAATCTGCAGCTGTCTGGCATCAGGACTTGCTTCCTGCTCCACAGGCTTCAGATGTCGCTGTGCTACCAATTCCCCAGTGCTCTTGAGGCATGCGCCAGACACGGCCTCTTCTGTGGTAAGTCCTTGTGGCAGCTCCAGGGGCTGGATGTGTATCAAGTGTTTGACCACTTTCAACTGTGCGTCCACTGGAGGGATGTTCTTGTGAATTTGAGGGCTGTGTGCCTTCTGAAGTCCAAGCATCTTGACTGTATCTTTTTCCCAGTATGGACGCCTTTTTGTACTTTTTATTCTTGTAACAAAGTACAGTTTATGAGGGTGCTGGGGTCCCCACCATATTTTTCATGATCTTCAGGTCTTGGCTGAAGCACTTTATCTGGAATTCTTGATCTGGTAAATTTGTGACAACTCCAATCTGTACCAGTGAGAGATTCTACACCTTTCTTCACAGTCTGTAGTCTGCCTGGAGGCCTCTGAAATACTGAGCACAAAATGCCAGCATAAGTGTAGTAATGCTTCTCTTTAGAGGCTTTGTAGAAAACAGACACTACCTCCACCAGGTGATCAGGGACACATAACACCAAGTGACAGAAGGTGACAGCATTCCAGTCAGAGCTACATAGTGGGAACCTATTTACGTCGCCAGGACCTCCAACTCAGAACTGAAAAAGCAGTTTTTCATTCTTTATTTGCCTTTCAGGCAATTTATTACTAAAAATTCTTACTAGAAGATGGAAGAGAATATTAAAATCTGGTTACTTTTAGCAAGGTGTGGTGCACGCCTTTATCCCAGTGCTCTGAGGCAGAGGCAGGAGGATCACTGTGAGTTCCAGGCCAGCCTGGTCTACATAGCAAGTTCCAGCCCAAGCCATAGCTATATTGTGAAACTCTGTCTCAAAAAAACAAAACTTTTAAGGGACAGCAAGTCTGATACAGTGGCTCAGGCTTGCAATCCCATTAGTCTAAGACAAGGGGAGAGAGCCTGTTGCGCTATGGACAATCTGGGCTACATAAGTGAGTTTAATGGCAGTCTAGGTTATAGAATATGACCATCTCAAAAAAGGGGCAAAAATCAGCTGTGGTATTAATGCTATAAAAAAGAAGCGGTATTTTCGTTGTTGTTTTGCTTTTCCACACAGGGTTTCTCTGGTAACAGTCCTGGATGTCCTGGAACTTGCTTTGTAGACCAGGCTGGCCTCGAACTCATAGAGATCCCTTGCCTCTGCCTCCCGAGTGGAGGGCTGGGGTTAAAGGCGTGTCTGTCACTCCCCGATGGAGGAGGAGGTGTCTTTTGTTCTTTTTTTTTTTTTTTAAACAACAAACTACTTCGGCTGAATTAACACAACAGGAAAATGGCCTGAAAACAATTATTTTAACCGGTATTAGGAAGGGTGACCTTAAAAACAGTGGCAACCTCAATCTTGTTAACAAGAGTTTTTAGAAACATAGATGCAGCCTGCAACCTGAACCTGGGCCTGGGCGGCGACCGGACACTGGCATGCAGCTTGGATTCTCCAGCAGTCACGCCCTTCTCAAAGATGGCCGAACTCAGCTCCCTCACCCACCGAGAACAGCCACTCCCTATTTCCGCCCTTCCTCGGTGAAAACAGTCTGGTGCAGGCACTTGGAGGCGTGGTTGCCCGGAGTAAAAATGTCTCCTCCCTCGCTACAGATTTAATAGGACGTGAAGCTGCGACGGCGCGGCTTTGCTTGTCCGTTCTTGGGAGGCGGTCTCAGAGCTAGTTCCTGTTGCCCTTACTAGAAATGGCGCTGGCTAGCGTGCTGCAGCGGCCGATACCGGTGAACCAGCATGGGTTTTTTGGACTCGGAGGTCGTGCAGATCTGCTGGACCTGGGTCCGGGGAGCCCTGGTGATGGGCTGAGCCTGGCGGCGCCCAGCTGGGGTGTCCCAGAGGAGCCGAGAATCGAAATGCTTCATGGAACCACCACCCTGGCCTTCAAGGTGCTCAGCCAGCCGCCTTGCGGCCCTGGCCTTTCCGGCATCCTAGCCGGAACCGAGGCGGGCAGAGGGTCGGTCGTCTCATCCCGACCCTTAGCGGTTTCGTCGCCTCGTAATCTTGAGAAACGGGAGGTGGGATGGGGGGCAGTGAGGGAAGGAGACTGGGGTCCCCTCCCTGGAGCTTGATGAAGTCCGGGAACCACCGTAGTAGGTGCAAGCGACGAAGGTCCCCGTCCTAGCTCTACAGTAACTAGTTAGTTGTGGCTCTTAGGCGAGTCTTTCAAGATTTATTTATTCTTATTTTTGTGTGTTTTGCTGATATGTATATTCACCACGTGTGTAGTGCTCGCAGAGGCCAAGAGAGGGCGTCGGATTCATTGGACCCGGAATTACAGACCTTTGTGGGCGCTCACAAAGGTCTATGTGGGTCCTGGGAACTGAACTCGACCACTGAAGAGCAGCCAGTGCTCTTAACCCCCGAGCCATCTCTCTAGTCCTCTTAGGGTCGTCTTTATGTCATTAAACTTACTTCTTCATATGTAAAGTGGCTATTCCCAATTCAGGGATTGCTGTTAAACCCAATGTGAACTCGAGTACACGGTCTAAAAAAGATGCGTAAGGGTTTTACATTAATACGAAGAGAAGTATTGGAAATATTTGTGGTCTTATGTGACCTATTTTTTGTGTTTTCTCTGACTTTAATTAGTTTCGCCATGGAGTCATTGTTGCAGCTGATTCCCGGGCCACAGCAGGAGCTTATATTGCCTCCCAGACAGTGAAGAAAGTAATAGAAATCAACCCTTACCTTCTGGGCACCATGGCTGGGGGTGCAGCCGATTGCAGCTTCTGGGAGCGGTTGTTGGCTCGACAGTGTCGAATCTATGAGCTTCGAAATAAGGAACGCATCTCTGTCGCAGCGGCCTCCAAACTTCTTGCTAACATGGTCTATCAGTACAAAGGCATGGGGCTGTCCATGGGCACCATGATCTGTGGCTGGGATAAGAGAGGCCCTGGTGAGTTGTGTTGTAGTTATGCTCCTTGGGGTAGAGACTACAGTGGGGAAGGGATAATAAGGGCTCTCAGTGGACGCTGAGGATGTACGTGTTAATTAGGTTCTTAGCTTTTCCTGCCCTCTCCGAGTTAGGCATTGCACTATATGTACAGGAAAGGGCATGGAGTTAGATTTGCTGTGTCATTGACTGTCTTAGTCAGTTGGCCTTAAGTTACCTGTTTTTCTTAGCCTGGCTCTTCATCTGTCAGTTGGTTCAGTGCGCGGCACAGTGGTTGAATGCGGTAAAGCAATAAGTACGATGTCTGGCATGTTTTCCATCTTCCCTTCACAAGGACAGGACAAGAAAACAGCTTTATTTAAGAATTAAATTGATGATAGATAAACTTAGCTAGCATTTTCTTTCTTTTTGGGGGCAGGGGGTGGTTTGAGACAGGGTTTCTCTTTGTAGCTGTGACTGTCCTGGAACTCACTCCACCTGCATCTCCCTCCTGAGTGATGGGATTAAAGACGTGTACCACCACCTGCAAGTTAGCGTTTTCTCACAGTACAAAAAAGTGAGCTGCACACATTAATTTAAAAATTTCTCATGTCCGGGCGTTGGTGGCGCACTCCTTTAATCCCAGCACTCGGGAGGCAGAGGCAGGCGGATCTCTGTAAGTTCGAGGCCAGCCTGGTCTACAGAGCGAGTTCCAGGACAGCCTCCAAAGCCACAGAGAAACCTTGTCTCGAAAAGCCAAAAAAAAAATTTCTCATGAATATACATATGCTTTTTAATTTTTTTTATGTGCATGGATATTTTGTCTGCATATATGTCTGTGCACTACAGTGCATGCCTAGTGCCCGAAGAGGCTACACAAGGGTATTGGATTGCCTGGAATATAATTACTGACAGTTGTCAGCCACAATGTGGTTGCTGGGAACCAAACCCTGGTCCTCTGCAAGAACAACCCATAGAGCCATCTCTCTAGCCCCATTTTTAAACATTTTAAGTTACTTTATTTGTTTTTCCTGTGTTTGTGAGTTCAAGAAAGTGTACATCCCAACATACACATGTAGAGGCCAGAGGATAACTGTAGGAGCTGGTTCTCTAGGCCAGAGAATAACTAGGAGCTGGTTCTCTAGGCCAGAGGATAACTTGTAGGAGCTGGTTCTCTAGGCCAGAGGATAACTAGGAGCTGGTTCTCTAGGCCAGAGGATAACTTGTAGGAGCTGGTTCTCTAGGCCAGAGGATGACTTGTAGGAGCTGGTTCCCTAGGCCAGAGGATAACTAGGAGCTGGTTCTCTAGGCCAGAGGATAACTTGTAGGAGCTGGTTCTCTAGGCCAGAGGATGACTTGTAGGAGCTGGTTCTCTAGGCCAGAGGATAACTAGGAGCTGGTTCTCTAGGCCAGAGGATAACTTGTAGGAGCTGGTTCTCTAGGCCAGAGGATGACTTGTAGGAGCTGGTTCTCTAGGCCAGAGGATAACTTGTAGGAGCTGGTTCTCTAGGCCAGAGGATAACTTGTAGGAGCTGGTTCTCTAGGCCAGAGGATGACTTGTAGGAGCTGGTTCCCTAGGCCAGAGGATAACTAGGAGCTGGTTCTCTAGGCCAGAGGATAACTTGTAGGAGCTGGTTCTCTAGGCCAGAGGATGACTTGTAGGAGCTGGTTCTCTAGGCCAGAGGATAACTTGTAGGAGCTGGTTCTCTAGCTCTGTGGATCACATTCAGGACATCAGGCCTGGTTGGTGGTAAGCAACGGTTACATGCTGAGTCACCTCCCTGGCCCTAACTTTAAAAACACAGAGAAGCCAAGTGATTCACCTCTGTGATCTTAGCAGTAGGGAGACTGAAGCAGGAGGGCCAAGAGTTTAAAGCCAGCCTAAGCTAGATAGCACCAGGAGAGCCTGGGTCATATGGTGAGATTGAATCAGAAGTAAATGAAGCTGGTGGGATTGGTTTATAGTTAATATAATATACAATACCCAAGCAAGGAGCGGGGAGATGGCTCAGTGGCTAAGAGCACTGGCTGTTCTTCAGAGGACCCAGCCTCAATCCCCAGCACCCACGTGACATCTCACAGCAGTCTGTAACTCCAGTTTCAGGGTATCCGACATTCTCCTACAGACATACATGCAGGGAAAAAACATCAATGCACATGAAATAAAGATAATAACCCAAGCTATTTCTCAGTATTTGGTGGTAGTACCATTTTAAGTCAGTCACATTCAGTCACTTGTCACTGTGTTGGATGGTCCTTTAGTCTTTGGCCCACAAGGAGCCGTCTCTTGCAGAAGTGTTACGGTCTGCCATGCCTGAAGTCCTAAGCTTGGGATGCTCAGCATCCTTGCCTTTTGGACTTACCAGTAGGCAGGATAGTTCCTATAATGTGAGGCGAGATGTGGGGTGTGATGTGGAGTCTGGAGGCCTCAGTAGTAAATTCCATTCTGTCTTTCTCCAATTTTCAAAAAAGTATTTTGTTAGTGAGTTTCTGTGTGTGGATGAGTGTTTGCATGTATGTATGTGTACCGTTTGCACGTCCAGTGTCCAAGGAAGTCCAAAGAGGGCATTGTATCCCCAGAAACTGGAATTACAGGCAGTTGTGAGCTACCCTGTGGATGCTGACAACTGACCCTGGATCCTAGACAAGAGCAGTAAGTGCTCATAACTGCTGAGCATCTTTCTAGCCCCTGCTTTGTTTTGAGACAGAGTTTTATGTAGCCCAGGCTAGCCTCAAACTCGATACATAGTTAAGGCTAGCCTTTAACTCCTGATCCTCCTGCCTCCACTTCCCAAGTGTGCTGGATTCCATTTTGATGGTGCTCTGTGTGTGTGTGTTGGGTAGAAATCAAACCCAGGGCCACCTTGTACATGCAAGGCATATATTCTGCTGCAGAGCAACATCTCTGTTGAGGAAGATGAGAAATTGCCTTAGAAAGTGAACAAGATAGCAAAGAAATGATGGTCTTTTTCCTTTTTTCCCTCATCTCCTTTCCAGGCCTCTACTATGTAGACAGTGAGGGGAACCGCATCTCTGGAACGGCCTTCTCGGTGGGTTCTGGCTCTGTGTATGCTTATGGAGTCATGGATCGAGGCTACTCCTACGACCTAGACGTCCATCAGGCTTATGATCTAGCCCGCCGAGCCATCTACCAAGCCACCTACAGAGATGCCTACTCTGGAGGTTCAGTCAACCTCTACCACGTGCGGGAGGATGGCTGGATCCGTGTCTCCAGTGACAATGTAGCTGATTTACACGACAAGTATAGTGCACCTGACGTCTGAAGGAAAGTGGATCTGGTTGTTTGCACCTATTGGGGTGGCTCTCGTTGGTTATAATAAATAACAACTCCCCATCCCATAGTGAAGGTCTCATTTGTCTCAATACCTTTTGTAAAGCTCTGGAACATGGGTGTGTGTTTGCGGTTGGTGAGCTCCTGGTGCATTAGCGTTTGTTTTATTCTCTTGGATGCTAAATTACACTACGTTTCACCCTCAGCCTCGCATCTTTGTCCACACTGTCCCTCCTTCAGGCACTTCACAGTCAAATAAGCCAGGACAGTGGGAGAGGAGGCACTGTAATTACAGGAAACAGTGGTGTGAAGACATCGTCTGGTGAATACATTAATGTCCTCACTCATGAAGCTAATAGCAAAGCAAGAGAGATAGGCGGGGAGGAGGGAGAGGCTTCCTGCTTTGGATTGCAAAGATGAAAAGTTGATGGGGTGGAAAGATGCACAGGGATGTTCCAGCCAGGGCTGTAGAGGAAAAAGCTCTTAGCTTGTGTTGGTAGGAAGAGACCATACACAGTTAGAATGATAAACCCCCCACCCCAAGAGACAGGGTTCCTCTGTGTAGCCCTGGCTGTCCTAGAATTCCCTCTGTACACCAGGCTAGCCTTGAGCTCACAGAGCTCTGTCTCCTGAGTGCTTGGATCAAAGTCACTGAGCCAAATCTACAATCTGGAATGAGCTGGGAAGGGAAGGATGGAGCCCTAAGAAAGTAGATGTGGGTTTAGGGTTTAGTGAAAGTCTTGGTGATCCTGTTCTGGTATCCCAGTGTATGGGTGATGGATGTGTCCCTGGAGGGGAAAGGGTGGGCTTCTAGCCTCCTGGGCAAGAAGCAGCTCAAATGCTACTAGAATTTGTTTGTGGGCTGAGCCCACAGAAAGTTGACATCACACACCCAGCTTTGAGGGGTCTGCAAAAGAAGACAGGGCTGGCAGGAGAACAGTCAGACGAAGAACAGGTTCTCCCTGTGCGGATCTCTCTTCCCATCTCAGCAGGGTGCAGCTTGTGCTCTGATTGATGAGCCTGTCCTTAGGAACTGATGGAGGCTTGTTAATTGCATTTGTCAAGTGCAGGGAAATTGTGAATTAGTGAGACTGGAGTAGCGGGCTTGGAAAACAAATGACTGCTGTGCCTCAGGAGATTCATGTGGCTGTAAAGTCTCTGGAGGCTGGGAACCACTGAGCATGGACCCAAATAGACTACGTTCACAATGAGGATGTTTTGGCTGGGGGTGTAGCTCAGGTGATAGAGTGCACGTCTAGCATTTACAAAGCCCTAGGTTCAAACAGCACCACGTAAAAACAGTGTACCTCTGAGTTCAAGGCCAGCCAGGTGATGGTGGTACACACCTTTAATACCAGCACTTAGGAGGCAGAGACAGGCAGATCTCTGTGAGTTCGAGGCCAGCCTGATCTACAGAGTGAGTTCAGGAGAGACTCCAAAGCAATACAGAGAAACCCTGTCTTGAAAAACTGTGGGAACACCAGACCTTGAGCAGAGACCCACTTCCCCTTCTGTCTGGGAGTAGGCAGCTGTAAGACAATGTTTAGTAAAAACATGTTTACTAAAAATGATACAATAAGTTCCTGGGAAAGGCCTTCCCACAGAAACCGCCCTGACCTCGACCTTGTCCAAAGACTAACCGCACCTTCAGAAACCCACACACATCCACCTCTGGTGTCAGAGCAGAACCAGCGAGGGTAGAGGAGAGAGCAAAAGCTTCTCTGGTGGGAGATTTTCTTAGGAGGTTTTCTTGAACCTTTTTGGAGCCTGTTTAAAGTTTTCTTTATATCATTAAACGAGTCTCTGTGTTTTCAATACCCGACACCCTCCGCACGTTCTCGGACACAGGCCGCGCAGCAGACGAGACAATTGGAGGTCCCACTGAGATCGTGAAAGCGAGGTAAGTGGACGGGGTTAAGAAACTATGGGGAATAGTTCCGGGAAGCTAGAATCATTGCAGTATCAACTTAAAAAGTTACTTAAAGAACATGGGACTGCAGTCAAGTCTAAAACCCTAGAAGGCTTTCTAAAATCGATCGAAGGAGCCAGTCCATGGTTCATTACTGGGGGAAGCTTAAATATTCCAGATTGGGAGGAGGTTCGCCGTGATCTTCATAGACTTTTACGAAAAGAGGGATCTGAGTCCTTGCCCCCTACGACATTCTCCTTATGGAGATTAGTGAGGGGAGCACTTTTGACAGATAAGGTTCGTCACCGCCAGGTAGTTCAGGACACAAAAGAGGCTTTTTTAGAGTTACAAGAGACTGAGACTCAAGCCTCCTTGAGTTCAGGGGCAGAGAGTGATGATGAAGAGACCGTGATTGAAACTAGAGGCTCCATTGTTAGTGAGGATGAGGAGGAGTCTCTTAGTAACAACAAAAAAACGGGTAGACATCTCCGGGCACGACCCAAAAGAAGGACTCCGGTCAGAATCGGTTATATCCTTCTCTATCAGACCTAGAAAATGGAAGTAGCTCAGACTCAGACTCGTCACAGTCTGAAAAGGAACGATTACTTGCTGAGATCACGGCCCTTAAAAAGAACTAAAAAGATTCTAATTAAGGAAAGACAGGACAGGGAGAGAAACCCTTCCCCATACTCTGAAAAAAGGGACTCCTCCTATGAGATAACCCAGTCCTTCTCAGACCTGGAGGGAAGACCCAGAGGAGGGGTCCAATGCTGCCCGGTGGTGGCCCCAGTAATGGAAGTTCCAGATCTGAACAATTCTGGACAGGTCATTAGGCGTCATAACCCTTTAAATTTTAAGGATATAAAACAACTTAAAGAGGCAACTTTAAATTATGGCGCACAGGCTCCCTTTACACTTTCCTTAATGGAATCTTTTGCGTCTCTTAATTTGATACCTGGCGATTGGCAGCAGCTTTGCAGAGCAGCTCTGTCGGGGGGAGATTATTTGATTTGGAGAGGTGAGTTTCAGGAAAGATGCAGCCAGACAGCCCAAAGAAATGCACAGGCCGGACAGCCCCAGAGAAATGTGGAGATGCTTACCGGAAGTGGTCAATACGCCACCATTCAGCAGCAAATGCAATATGACATCGCAGTCTATGCCCAAGTGGCAGCAGCGGCCCAAGGGGCTTGGAAAGCATTGCCTTCCAAGGCAGAAGGGGAAGTGGGTCTCTGCTCAAGGTCTGGTGTTCCCACAAAAAACAAAAGTCTTTAGCAGGGTGATGATGGTGCACGACTTTAATCCCAGAATCCCAGCACTTGGGAGACAGAGGCAGGTGGATCTCTGTGAGTTTGAGTCCAGTCTGGTCTACAGAGCAAGTTCCAGGACACCAGGGCTGGTCACGGAAAAAAACAAAAACAAACAAACAAACAAAAAACCAAAAACAGTGTAGTGGCGGGTGTCTGCAATCCCGGCTCTTGGGCAGTAGATGCAGGAGAATCAAAAAGTCAAGGCCATTCTTGGCTACACTGTAAAATGGAAGTCAGCATGAGCCCCATGAAACAGGTTTTTTTTTCCCTTTGGTTTTTCAAGATTGGGTTTCTTGGTGTAGCCCTGGCTGTCCTGAAATTCAGAGGTCCAAGTCCTGAGTGCTAGGATTAAAAGTGTGTGCCACTACTGCCTGACTTTTTTTAATTTTTTATTTTTTAATGATTTATCTATTTATTTTATGTGCATTGGTGTTTTTCCTGTATATCTGTGTGCGGGTGTCAGATCCTCTGGAGCTGGATTTACAAATAGTTATCAGTTGCTATGTAGGCGCTGGAATTGAGCCCCAGATCCCCTGGAAAAGCAGCAAGTGCTTCTAACACTGAGCCATCTATCTCTCCAGCACCTAGCCCCAGTCTTTAAAAAAAAATAAATTTACGATGTTTAAAAACCAGGCTAGGCGATGATGGCACATGCCTTTAATCCCAGCTGGTGGATCTCTGTGAGTTCAAGACCAGCCTGGTCTATAAGAGCTAGTTCCAGGACAGCCTCCAAAGCCACAGAAAAACCCTGTCTCTAAAAACAAAAACAAAAAACAAAAAAACCAGAATGCTTAAAAACCATCTGGGTAGTGGCAGTACATACCTTTGATCTTGGGGTGTTGGATCTCTAAAGTTGAGGCCAGCCTGGTCTATATAGCAAGTTCCAGGATAGCTGGGCTAAACAGAGAAACCCCGTTTTTGAAAAAAACAAACCAAAAAAGCCAATCGGTGATGGTACATGCCTTTAGTCCCAGCACTCTGGAGGCAGAGGCAGGCCAATCTCTATAAATTCTAATGCAGCCTGGTCTACAGAGCGATTTCCAGGACAGGCTCCAAACAAAGTTTTAGAGAAACCCTGTCTGCAAAAACAACAAAACAAAATGCCACTTTCTAAGCCATCAGCTGCCTCCTTGTGTGCTTGTATATTCTCACTGGTGGAGATGCTGCTATTGAGTGGCATGTACCAGTTCAGGGACTCTCTCCATCATCCCTAATACAGTGGTCTTGACAAAGGATGATGGAAAAGAAATTGCCTTAAATAGCTGAAAGATTGATTTCTTGTGGCAGTTCCCGTCTCCAAGAGACAGGGCTCTTGAATGGACGGCTGACATCCTCCCTCTACATACAGCTCAGTATCACCAAAGTCTGAGTCCTCTGGCTTAGTCTGGGGTCTAATCAGGATAAAAAAGAAAACAGGCACTCCTAGAGGCCTGTGCGCGCTCCTTCCAGCAGACAACATTGTGGGGTAAAGGCTGGAAGTGCCTTATGGCATCTCCGCATCCATCAGGCGGGGGCTGTGGGGGTAGAGCGTGCTGCAGGGAGAGCTCCATGTTTGTGAAGAGATGGTAGGTGAGGGCATGGAGGACAGTTAAGCAAATCAGAGGCTGACGCATAGCAGTTACTGAATATTCCCTCTTAGGCAAGACCAGAAGGTCAGTGTCTCTTGATATCCTCCTCAGCTACAAATGAGAAAACTGTCAAAGCCATTTGGGGAAAGGAAATCACATCGTTTGAGGGGAAATAAAACAACACAATCCACGCAGTATGCTAGGAGAAATTAAGAGGTGAGGTGAAGCTGTGTACCCCTAGCACTGAAGAGGCAGAGGCAGGATTAGGAGTTCAAGACTGCCCTTG